TTCTTGTTTTGGTTAATGGGAGTTGTTGTATTTAACAATAAATTTGTTAGACAATTTGAAATGGGAACATTGAAATATTTGATATACGTGCAGTTGGTCCATTAAAATGTAAGGGGACGTGTACAACTGTTTAGCGTTGATGTTTTTAATGTACAACTGTGAGGGTGTGCTTTTTGCATAACCGTGCTTTATACCACATTACTCGAAAGGGAAACTAGTCATATAAAGCAATTTATGCAATAACCCGTTTCATGTTTTTGCAATTAAAATGACTTACGATATTCACATTCATTAAACTTCTCAACTTTTTTAATTTCGAAATAATTAAAATCGCGCTTTTATTGACTTCGCAGCATGAAATGAAGACTAGACAGTATGTGTAAACTTAAACAATACTTGATCAAAGACGTGCAGTCAAATAGACATACAATATTCGTAAATTGATGAGCGAAACTATTTAGTCGATCAAATTGCTGCCATTATTTAATTATTATCATATTCATCATATCATATTAATCTTATTTATCATCCATCATATTAATTATATAATTTAAAAATAATGGAAATAAAATAAAATCATATCGACTGTACACTCGAATACATTTCTGAACAGATATATTGGAAATTCCATGATTACTATGGAAATGTCATTTAAAGTTTATAAAAATCGCCATCTTTAGAAATAAAATGAATTTGGTTGAAAAAAGTAACACATTGTCTATTCAGTGGTTTGTTGTGTAAACTAGGTATGTCACGTAGATATCATTTTGGTGCCAGTACCTTCAATAAGGTTGGATCACCGTTGTATGTGGGATATTTAATTTTGAAAGTAAATTTGGTTAGTTTCCATGGGCGTGGTGGAGATGGGATATGAATTTGTGACGCGAGTGTTACAGCAAACAAAAGTTTCAAGTAATTTGAATTTCAATTTCATATTAAGATAATTTTAATTTTAATTAATTTCGACTTTAATTTTATTTGTAAAAGTAGAAAAATAGTAGTAGTGAAACAGCTACCGAGGTATGACAAAGCTCAAATAATATTAGACGCGAGGAGTGCACAAGTCACGCCAAAATGTAAATAATGCGAATCCTCAGGCATTGGCGGGTATAGTAACTTTTGTATTGGAAAAAACAATGCATATATACATAAACGACATTTAATTTCGCATAAAACAGTAAATAAACTGGTAATTCTAGGTAAGGTTACACTTAACGAAATGCAAATTTTCAGCACCGCTGATTTATTATAAGGTATAGGTAATCGAAACTCGTTTAGATACCAGAAAGATAAATAAATTAACTATCGAACTGAATTTCCTCGCGTTAACATTAACAGCAAAGCCAAAAGATGAACTAAAAGGCACTGTACAGAATTGGGATAACAAAGTGATTTTATAGATAAAAATCATACATCAATCGGGGTAGAATCTAGTAAATGTCGTTTTTTGACGCGTTTACTATATAAAATTGTGGAGTGGAGCCCCTGGTGGAGCCCATTTCTTTATGAGTAGATAACTTCAATTGTGCAACTTTTGCTTGAAGTTTAGTAAATGTTTGCCTTTTCACTTCAAACATTGACTAACAACGCACTAAGGCTTTCAATAACTTTTAGTGCCTATATTGGCGTTGGTTATTTAACCTTTCCTTTTTTATCTTTTACTTACGTCGAAACTCAATTAGCTTATTCCCTTATAACACCCAAGGATCACTAGAAGTTCAATTTGTGTATTGATCTGGTACATTCTACTGTATGTTCGATGAGTTGAGTTGCTATTTCTAAAATTCATTAGCTTACGCCGAACCACATTTAAACTCTTACGTATTCTGTACTAATCGCAATCAAAAATGAGACAGAAAATAAATAACGGAAGAAAAAATTCGCTATGAAAAAATTAATTCAGTTTGAATAGATCAGATTGTACCAATTTCGAGTAATGAAATTTCAGCTGACCTCAATTCTCACATAGTATGTTATAGCCGTTTCTAAATATGACCTTGAGATTACTAAAAGGGCATTGCCTTCGTTTCGGGTCGGTAAACTTGTGCTTAAAGTGTATTAACCTTCGTGTCGTGTCGTTTAAACTCGTGCTGCTTAAAGTGTATTAACCTCAATATGGCATTGACCTTTATTGTGGTTTAAATTGTCCGTGAGAATGACCTTTTCTATTTAAAGGTCGTTCACCTTAAAGGCACTGACCTTTTGATAAAAGGTTATTGACCTCGTTGCTGTTCTTAAACCCTTTAGCTTAATGGTTTTGATCTCCGCTAATTGCGCATAGTGGGGCGCAGTAATTATATAGCCCACTCGTCGTGTAGATCAAATAATCATGGCATGGCTAGCGTATGCTGAGCAATCGTGGATCAAGGCGATAGATTTTGAAACAGCGGTAGAACGCCTTAAGCAAAAGTTTTCGGCGTTAGTATTTGACGCCGAACATGAAGCAATATATGGCAATGGTGAATATAGTGAGGAGGAGTGTCTGGCCATCGCTAAAAAATACGAGTTGGGCGAAGAAATATGTGAGAGTTATTTAAACAGTAAAATATGTGAAAAATGTGTAGTAGTACGCAGATTGATAAAGGCCAATTTAGAACAGTTTATTAGTGAGTTAAGTGATTGGACTGAAAATGAAGAAGAGAGTTACAATTGACGAAACACGGAATCAAGTGTACATAATGGTAGCGTGGTCGTTTGCTTACGGTAAAGCACGAAGAGGTTCGTGGGAAACAGTCGCGCTCGATAGATTTCGTTTCCGAAATAAAATCGAACAACTTAGTAGAGTTTTGTCTTCGGTATTAGAGAAAAGTCATCGGGACAAAGTCTATCGTGAACGACTCGCCTCCCCTCCACAACGTTAGCAATATAAGTGTAACTGCAGTAGTGCTTAAAATCATTCCGACAGCGTGTACGCGAACTGGTTAAAATGGATCTTGATACACTCAACAATACCACTTTCTGCAAGCCGTTCAAAAATGTAAAAGACCTGGAGGTGGGGGAGAAATATCGAATCGTCGGCATCGACACAATCAACACAAAATATGGTGACCGGGTAGTCGTGGAGACTGGAAACTTTAAATCTATGCTTCCCTTACGTTTCTACAACTACTTTAAGGAGGATAATCGTTTACAAACATTCCAAGCCTCCTTAGCCAATAAAGAGGTATACATAACAAGTGCTGGATCTGCAGGGCAAACGACTAACTTAAAGTTTATGTAAATAAAATATTTGTGTATTAGAAATGTAAATAAACATGGTATATATAAAAAGGAACGGATTCGTTTTATTTCTTTCTAGAAGGCTTCAGTAGATATTTCCGTTTCCTGTTTCAAGGTCCGAGCACACAAGGTAAACGGTTAGAGAATGGCCTATTCTGGACCACTCTTATTGATTTTTTATCGATTTTTGAAGCGCTATCCTGATTTATTGATTGATTATCGATTTCGGAGGCAACATGCAAACTCACTGTCCTTGTGTTATTGGTGATTGTCAATTTTGGGGGCATAGATATGTGTCTGTTGTGTGTTATTGATTTTAGGGCGTGTGTATAGCGGAATGGTATGTTTCCTCCTCGTGTTAATGGGAACTGAACTCGGGACATTCGCGCCATTTTAGTGGGAGTGTGTCATTGACCACTTTGACTGCAATTGTTGGAGAAGCAGGACTTCTGGAGCTAAAGTTTGATGTCTTCAAAATACGGTAGTGTAATTGACTACAATTGTGAGTTAATAGCCTGGAAAGCTAACCTTGAGCTCTCACGATGCTTACCGAATGCCTTCGGAACTTTTTGTGTTAGAGGGGCCATAGCGAATAGCTAGGGCTCTCTTGTATACCTACAGGATTTTGTTACTGTGGAAGTTCGTCGGTGTTGCAATCGGAGCTCTACGTCGCAATCTTTTAATCTGTATGAATAAGGCTGTCAACTCAGATTGGCCGCTAGTGTTGTGGGTATTGATCTAAGAGGGAAGCGACCTCTGAAATTAAAAGGTTGTTGGTCTCAAAGTATGAGACAATAGTGTTAAGTGTCATTGATCTCTATTCTGAGTCAATAGCCTCGAAAACTAAATGTCGTTATCCTCAAGTTGGATAGCATTGGCCTCTAATGGAAGTCAGTGTTCTCTAGCGCTGCAGGTGGTTAACCTTGATCGGTAGCCGTAATATGTTGGACGTCATTGAACTCTAGGTGTGAGCCACTGCCGCTAAATGTCGTTAACGTCAAAGGATCGACAGCTCAATACTATGCGGTCGATTGCAAATGTGCTAGTGGTGGGGACTGTATGTGTTAAGAATAATATTAAGAAACCGTTTGTGGATAGTATATTTCAAACAATCGCGGAGACATCAGACAAGAATCGTGCGCCGCAATCTATCGCTGCAAATATTCGAACTCTCGCAGTAGAGTTTCAAACGTAGTTACTTTAGGATCAGTCCTGACAGAGTTTCAAACCTAGTTACCTTTCTGGTGACTTTTTGATTTAGAATCGATCCTATATAACGAGAGATGGAGGACTCTCAGACTTTGCAATCGATACAAAGCTCAATTACAACACACATAAACAGTTTTCCCCAAGCATTCGATCTCCTTAAAATGAAATTAGTTGACGCTAGTTTAAGTAAACTGCGAATACTAGAACATATTATAATCCAACACGACAAATTTGTGAGGAATGCTAGAGTTATATTAATTTAGCTAGTGACGTACATCCAAACTTTCCAAAAATATGATAGTGAAATCGCACTAATATAAAATCCCTAGAAAAGTTACTGGAGGACCGACTCTAAATCACACTTAACTAACGCCCTTAGAACAAAAAAGTACTAGAATTGAATGTCAAATGCCAAATGGGAGGCTAAAAAGTCATTGACAAGAACCCCAGCCTGCAATCGAAATCAAACTGGTACTTTCGAAAAATACGTTAGTGATGATTAATTTCGGACCTAGCGCAATGCATTTTCAGGGGGTCTAGAATAGAACTCACTAGTTTGATCATCATTGCAGCAGTCAGTTGGAGGGTTATAAAAACACACAAAAATGTTGTTTATTTTCAAACAAATATCCACACAAAATTTTGGAATGCTCTACCTCGTAAAGGAAATTTTCGACACACGATCCACAAGTGCCGCTTCGCAATAGTTCTGGTTCTGCAAAAACTGCTATTAGAATAAACTTTTAAAAAAATTTTCAGTCACCTTTTTATAATTATACCCAAACGTTTGCCCAAACGCGTCGGTTGCAAAAATGTTTCATTGACCGGACATACGAGGTTGAAATTTAATCCCTTATTCACCAAAAGGAGTCCGCAATTGTCCGCCCCATCGCCGCCTGGCCGTAGTTCCAAAATTCGTATTTAAACATTCTAGAAGAAAAATTAGTTAGTTAATGTGGCACGCAATTGATGATGGAGTGATGTTTAGAATGAAGGAAAATTTAAAAATGCAGATTTTCCCACCAATTAGCCCAGCTTTGAAAAATGGAGAGCTTACGTTTATAAAGCCAGTTTGAAACGCTACAGGCTACTTAGCAATTTGAAGTTTTTGTAAAATTCCCTTTCCTAGCAAATAGCCAGTTAACAGCAGATTGAAAAAAGTTCGCAATGAACATTCCATTGAAAAATGTCGGTCGCTTAATAATTTGCGTTTGGTAGTCTTTATGCAAATAAATGTCCATCGTAACTAAATTGTGAACTACCTTACGTGATAATTATACACTTCTAAAGAAGCTGAATGTGCATACCTGGTACGTCTGTTAACGCCGTTCACACTGAAGAATTCCATAGAAAAGACTTATGTAGGTATGGATGTTTTTTATAGGGATTCGATCCGTATATTTCCACTGGCGGCCCCTTAATAAAATCGTAGGCGTAGGTATGAAATTAGAAAAAAGAAAAATATGTAATATCGTATACAGTCCGATTTGAAGAGCTTATTTATTACCTTTGCTAATGCATGACTCCTTATTTGCCAAAAATCCCAAACGACATATTTATAATCCAAATTGTTTCACAAATGCACAAATTTATTTCGCCCATCGTATGTACTGTCGCGAGAGCGCGGTAACGACTCCTCTCTTTTTTAGATGACGCAATGAAATCTTAAGATAATGCATTGCGGTTCCACGTAATCTGCATAAATGTAGGCATTATGTGCAGTAGGAAAACTCGTAATACGAGGGATGTCCAAATTTTTACAAACAGCGCGAGCCATGCCTGCAATTAACTAACTAATTGGCCACTTTCCGCTGTCGATACAAAGATACTGCATTGAACCGTACATCTAAAGTTAAGGGATCCCAAATTGCGCATTTTTCCTAATTCATAATAACACACGAGTACATTTTTTCGATATTTCAGTATGTACCTAAGCATACCTACGTATTAGGTACACCACCATGATTTTCGTGTTTGAACCGTTGGATAAGTGGTTTCTCGAATGGCAGGATAAATTTATGGTAGACCTCTTTTTTTGCAAACACACGCTGCTAAAAAGTACCTCTAGTGTTCACCCTTCGCCCCGTAAGCTGAACCAACTAAATTACTAAACAATTGCATCAGTTGACATCATACGCGGTTGTATGTACCTTAAAAGTGGGGATAAAACGTATGGGTTATGTATCTGTGTATCCCACATGAAGAGGGAACCTACCTACAAAAGTATCATATGCCGAAAAACCGATAGTAAAATGCACGATATCTTTTATATCGAAGTTGGGATACATTAGTGCCGTATATGTATGTGCATTTATTGTATGCGGATCGTTCGATACAGTATACATTTTTTTTTCTAAGTGTAAGCTTAATTTATGGCATTCAACGTTACTAATCATGTTTTCACGTATTAGTCACGGCCAAACTTCAAATTACGGTTGATGGGAACTTTTACGGTAAAGTTTTATAAATCGTATCGAAATAACGGTGGAGGCATGCTATTTAAAGAACTGGCAACGGAAGAGGTAACAGGTGAAGAGATTGAGGCTGTGGCAATACATGAGCTCTTAATTTTTGAAAGCTGTGATAATTCCATCAACACTTCCGAGCTCTTCTTTTTGCGTAGAGGAACCCGCGCCACCTGATTTTGTTGGCGTTGATGCAAGTCCTTTGGAAAATATTGTAAATATCTGAGGTAGTTCCCATATAACCAGCGCCAATCATCGCGGTCTACCGCTTTCAACGTAGGAGTTGGAAATATAGGCTGTAGCGATGCTTTCTATCAGTCCAGTAGTAGTTCTCGAAACAGTTGGTGAATCAGTAGCAGAAAACTGGTTATCGATATTGAGGTTCAAGGATTTAAAACATACAAAACGTCATTTACTCCAAAGGATTTAGCGGTATTTAATGGGCACCAACTTGCAGATTTTATGTTCAAACCTCCGTTTTCATTTAGCAGCTTAGATGTGAGCTACCAGAGAGAGAGAGAAGCAATCTGGCCGATTAAATGGGAAGAAGGACATACGCAGGCACACTTATTTTCAACTATAGTGCGCCTGCTGGTATCACCAATGGACGCTACATATGTCAAGGGAAAGGAGAAGGTAGAATTTATACGAAAAACCTTATCGCAGGATGTCCTCGAGATCAACGAGAAACCTGCACTACCTAAATTACAATCCAACTGTTTATATCATTCCCATTCTCAATGTCATTGTGCATTGTCAAACGTGTACTACATACATAACAATCTTACAATGACATAATTTTTTACTAAATAAAGCGGAAAAAGTATATAACATTTATTCTTTCTCTTAATACCTGTAACCGACAGCAAACCTTAAGAATTACAGTTTTTTGGGCAGCAGAGTTCTTAGTGACCATCGGCCTCCCAAGAAGAGAGAGATAAGCATCTTTTTTGAGACGGAAGCGTGTTAAGTTTGATCCAGGTAAAATCCTGGTTTGCTGCAATTATGGGGATTTAGTGAGCAACCCGTTCAATTTATATTAATTCTGTTTTACCAGGTAATGAAGACCTAGTTAACTATGTACAATCCCTTATCGACTGTTGTTCTTGCCGCTTACACTACGAACACTTCGAAATCTAGTTCAAGAAATTTTTGACGTTTGACTGCTTTCCTTTTAAGCCCTGTACCTATGACTCCGTTGACTTGAATTTTAAAAAGTCTTTAAAATCAACAATATACTTACGTGATGCTATATGAGAATGATTGTAACTCTTTGCTAGTACTCACTAATTATTTATAGACGAGTGCATAAATGATTGTAGGCTATATATATATCAGGGTTCAGTGGAAGAACAATCTCTGGAGATTGAACTGCGCCCTGAGGTTATCTTATAGCAAGTAAGATAATAAAGGCCATTATTATTATTATTCTTATTATTTAAATTTTGATCACTCTTTTACAGGATGTTTTAGCTGTTAAGCTGGATTCACATGCATACGAAATCCGACGATACTGTTTTCCGAAAGGCGTATGATTGGTCAACAATTTCAAATGTCATGAGGGGAGCGAAAGCCGCATGACAGACTCATTCGACGATGCCGAGGGAAAATTCTCAGTAGAAGAAGTACAAATCCAGTCGCACGTCACGATCGTCCACATCGCACCACAGCAGGAAAACTGCCTGTGATAAATACAAAGACTTCGTGATGGCAGTTCCGGCCAAGCACGTATAACCTGATTAACCCGGACATTCATCTTAGCGGGGAGGAGTGATATAAACCATTGAAATAAAAGACTAAGGAAGGAGCTTATGTAGCATTAGCCAGGACCCTATAGGCTTCTCAATATGGCGGACGTTCCTACGCACAGTGGCGTAAATACATAAATAATAAAATAATTTAGTATATTTAATTTTTTTGGCGGATAGTACTGAAATTACATACATTTTACTACATACAGATTCATTACTTCTTTGATAAACAAAATCCATCTCGCCATTCACTGTCTAAAGGAAATGTGAAAAATAGATGTATTTCAACATGTTGTTTTACGCCTATTCCTACGGCAATGTATCACAACCAGTAAAATGAATGAAATTAAGTATCGTGAAAGAAGACCATTTAAGAAATACTAACATAGTTATCACCTATGAAATGTCATTTTCGTTTCTTCTATAGCTTTTGACTTTGTTATATTACACGATTTACAGCTAACCATTGTGTTTCATTTTATCGTAAATGTCAATTAATTGTCAAATTCGGCCATATTGAGAAGCCTAATTGAATCCCGACAAGCATACGTTATATGAATGTAACCCTCCTTCCTTAGTCTTTTATTTCAATGATATAAACACACGGTAACACAAGGCGGCTTTGATTTTGGCAGACAGTTCTATTTTTATGTCAAACGTTTAAACACGCATTTTCGTTTTTCTTAAATAATAAAGTATTCTAAACTATCTTAATTTACGAATACTTCAAGTTTCAGCACATTAGTTCTTGAATCTCAACTTGTTAGAGAAATTAATTTTGATCAAGTGCTAACAACCTTTGCTAATATAAGAAAATCCGAAGAGTTAAATTGTAATGTGTTTTTGGTGAACTGGAACAGGTAGTTGGGTAACAGGTAACAGGTAAACTGGTGTAACTGGTTAACAGGTAACAGGTTTCTCAATAAAAGCTCTTTAGATTAACAGCTGTTCAATTAGAAAGCTGTTTCATTTGAAAAACGGAAACAATAAGCACTGGAAAGGTGATAAAGCCCCTATTGATATCGTCAAAGTTGAGAAAACAATGTTTTAACAAACGACATTTACTGAAATCTACCGCGCAAATTCTACAAAAAGATGTTTTGCTCCAGATGGATCGTCAATACCTTACGGTTATCTGTCGCGAAGATTTGTAAGTGCAAAATGGTCGTTTCAGAAAAGATCATTATATATTTTATGATGCAGTGAAAACGTATTTATTGTTTCCGTTTTTCAAATGAAACAGCTTTCTAATTGAACAGCTGTTAATCTAAAGAGCTTTTATTGAGAAACCTGTTACCTGTTAACCAGTTACACCAGTTTACCTGTTACCTGTTACCCAACTACCTGTTCCAGTTCACCAAAAACACATTACAATTTAACTCTTCGGATTTTCTTATATTAGCAAAGGTTGTTAGCACTTGATCAAAATTAATTTCTCTAACAAGTTGAGATTCAAGAACTAATGTGCTGAAACTTGAAGTATTCGTAAATTAAGATAGTTTAGAATACTTTATTATTTAAGAAAAACGAAAATGCGTGTTTAAACGTTTGACATAAAAATAGAACTGTCTGCCAAAATCAAAGCCGCCTTGTGTTACCGTGTGTTTATATCATTGAAATAAAAGACTAAGGAAGGAGGGTTACATTCATATAACGTATGCTTGTCGGGATTCAATTAGGCTTCTCAATATGGCCGAATTTGACAATTAATTGACATTTACGATAAAATGAAACACAATGGTTAGCTGTAAATCGTGTAATATAACAAAGTCAAAAGCTATAGAAGAAACGAAAATGACATTTCATAGGTGATAACTATGTTAGTATTTCTTAAATGGTCTTCTTTCACGATACTTAATTTCATTCATTTTACTGGTTGTGATACATTGCCGTAGGAATAGGCGTAAAACAACATATTGAAATACATCTATTTTTCACATTTCCTTTAGACAGTGAATGGCGAGATGGATTTTGTTTATCAAAGAAGTAATGAATCTGTATGTAGTAAAATGTATGTAATTTCAGTACTATCCGCCAAAAAAATTAAATATACTAAATTATTTTATTATTTATGTATTTACGCCACTGTGCGTAGGAACGTCCGCCATATTGAGAAGCCTATAGGGTCCTGGCTAATGCTACATAAGCTCCTTCCTTAGTCTTTTATGTCAATGGTTTATATCACTCCTCCCCGCTAAGATGAATGTCCGGGTTAATCAGGTTATACGTGCTTGGCCGGAACTGCCATCACGAAGTCTTTGTATTTATCACAGGCAGTTTTCCTGCTGTGGTGCGATGTGGACGATCGTGACGTGCGACTGGATTTGTACTTCTTCTACTGAGAATTTTCCCTCGGCATCGTCGAATGAGTCTGTCATGCGGCTTTCGCTCCCCTCATGACATTTGAAATTGTTGACCAATCATACGCCTTTCGGAAAACAGTATCGTCGGATTTCGTATGCATGTGAATCCAGCTTAACAGCTAAAACATCCTGTAAAAGAGTGATCAAAATTTAAATAATAAGAATAATAATAATAATGGCCTTTATTATCTTACTTGCTATAAGATAACCTCAGGGCGCAGTTCAATCTCCAGAGATTGTTCTTCCACTGAACCCTGATATATATAGCCTACAATCATTTATGCACTCGTCTATAAATAATTAGTGAGTACTAGCAAAGAGTTACAATCATTCTCATATAGCATCACGTAAGTATATTGTTGATTTTAAAGACTTTTTAAAATTCAAGTCAACGGAGTCATAGGTACAGGGCTTAAAAGGAAAGCAGTCAAACGTCAAAAATTTCTTGAACTAGATTTCGAAGTGTTCGTAGTGTAAGCGGCAAGAACAACAGTCGATAAGGGATTGTACATAGTTAACTAGGTCTTCATTACCTGGTAAAACAGAATTAATATAAATTGAACGGGTTGCTCACTAAATCCCCATAATTGCAGCAAACCAGGATTTTACCTGGATCAAACTTAACACGCTTCCGTCTCAAAAAAGATGCTTATCTCTCTCTTCTTGGGAGGCCGATGGTCACTAAGAACTCTGCTGCCCAAAAAACTGTAATTCTTAAGGTTTGCTGTCGGTTACAGGTATTAAGAGAAAGAATAAATGTTATATACTTTTTCCGCTTTATTTAGTAAAAAATTATGTCATTGTAAGATTGTTATGTATGTAGTACACGTTTGACAATGCACAATGACATTGAGAATGGGAATGATATAAACAGTTGGATTGTAATTTAGGTAGTGCAGGTTTCTCGTTGATCTCGAGGACATCCTGCGATAAGGTTTTTCGTATAAATTCTACCTTCTCCTTTCCCTTGACATATGTAGCGTCCATTGGTGATACCAGCAGGCGCACTATAGTTGA